CGTCAAATGCACATGAAATGCACAAGTCAAAAGCCATTTTGTTGTCCAATAAAAATGAAAATTCAAATTTATTTGATTGCATTTTTATGTACACCCCCTCGCAGTCCATATTATATATTATTTCATATACAAATGGATATTGGAGACTGCGGCAGAGGGCATGACAAACGCTCGGATGCTGCAATGAACAAAATATTTCTCGCTTTTATTTGGGCATTTGTTTGTTGGTCGACAATTGACTGTCGCCTGCAATTGTTTGGCAATGATTTAACTAACGTGTGAACCAAAGAGCGCCCAATCCCAGGCCAACAAAAAAAAATGGAAGGAAGAAGGTCAAACGAGATTTTAATATTTGCACAAGCGATTGTAATTCATTGGCCTTGCTTACAGTAATTCACCATGCGTTTAATTTATTATTATTATTATTTATTTGTTTATTGTTTAAAGCTGCACCGAAATAATTAACACACGACCTCATGCGAGCTCTTCACTCTGGGGTTTGGTTTAGGTTTAGGTTTCGGTTTGATGTGCGATGTGGCATGTATGCGTTGTGCAAACATTTTCCAACCAATTATGCACAGATATTCAAGGTTCGCAACAGAGTCGCGTCGAGTCGAGTAAATTTTCAACTGTATTTTCAACTAAATTTAGTCAACACCGCCGGCCAACAACAATAGCAATAACAATTAAAAATGCGCTAGCATTGCATTTTATCCCGTTTAACAGTTGAGCGCTTTCAGTCCAAAACAAACACGAGCATGGCCAAAAAGTAAAAAAGCCAAAAGAAAAAACTGCGATCCAATTTCAAGCTGCCCCCCCCGCCCTTTTCGGCTCATCATGCTGATGGCTCAGCTTAGTTGCTTAGTCAACTTGGCTTGGTGAGTAATCGCAAACTGAGTTCTGCTTTAGTTGGTCCGCTTCGTTTTCGCCATCTTTTTTGTTTTTATTGTTTTTGCTGGGAAAACCACCATAACCAAAAAGGCCAGACTCTGGCTGGGACTGTAAGCGGCTTTTGGCCGAATGGCAGAGTGGCAGAAGCTCATAGCAAAGCCATCTGCTGACTTGGGGCGACGCGTTCAAGTGTCACTGGAAAGAGTCATTAACCCGGAATAATCTGTCGACAGTGTCTTAAGGAGTCACCCAGAACGATGATGAACGGTACGAACGTTTTTCAATTAAACAGCGGGCAAAGGGACCAAATTAATTGAAGTGTTGCAATCCAATCCAATCCATAAAGAGTCCTCTCGATGTTTGCAATCTATTTTTTTTTTGTATCCTATTTTTGTTTGTCCATGGAAAATCATGTCACTTTGTGTCTTGCCAACCTGCCGGGCCATTTAAAAATCCCATCATCAACGAATTCAGCTTACCAAATGAAATCACAGCACATCGTTTGGCACTTCATATTCTGAATGCCCCTAGGATTCTTCTGAATAAAAAAGAAAAAAACACAGATTTCTGAAAAACAGGCTTTGAAATGAAATGCAAATGGGGGAGCCATAAAAAAATCGTTGCAATGTCGGAATGAAAAGCGGCTACATATGCCTGTTTATATGCAAATATTACTTGTACATATGTGCGTAAACATTTGGCAATTACTCGGAACCGGGAGCCGAATATGGAGTATGGTATGGGGAACCATACACCAGAACAGTAACTTTGTTTCTTTTATTTTTTACGGCCACTGAGCCTGAGGGCCTGCTGTTTGTTCTATTTGCTGATATACAAATAAGTATGCAAAAATTTGTTCAGTTTCATATATAGTATATGTGCCCAAATGGAAGCGACCTTTCGTCTCCTTTTCCTTTTGGGGAATTTCAATTTAAATTGTGATTAAATTTCCGTGCGCTTCGATGAAAAAAACCATCAAGGATATATTCAATGTGTATTTATATCTATATATTTTATTGATTGTTGTAGAGTCGTCACTGCTGAGTCGTCCCACTCTTCGCTTCCAGATTATTGCTCATTTTTTTCCTACTGACGCTGGTCCGCTTAGCTGGCATTTGTTATGCAAATTTATTTTCGATTACTTGTTACCAAAGATTTGCTCGAGATTATGCAAATGTGTCAAACGTAAGATACGAAAACAGAGCATCTTCACCAGAGCAGGGGCATATATCTGGCCCATAGATCTACATTATGGCCGCCTTACAAGTGGCTTATTACGGTTAGTGGTTGTCAGTTGTCAGGAAGTCGGATAAACGATGCAAATATGAACAGAAAAGAAACTTTGCATATTCTCATCAACATTTTCGGCGGCATAAAAATGCGATGAGTTGGAAAATCTATTTTCGCCTCTGCTGATTGTTTATGTTTATGGCCAGCTCCATTGATTTCGCATCAAACTCAATTTTATTTGGCCGTTTTCGACATATTTCATAACTTTGTTAGGAGTATTTGCATAATTGATTTAACTTTCTCAGTATGCAGCGCTTGCTCAAATGCTATTTACAATAATTAGAGTTGACTGATTTGTGGCTCGAAAAAGTGTAAATTGATTATATTGATATTTATTAACGAGTCAAGATGATGGGAAATAGGGTATAAAAAGTAATTAGTACATTTTCCTATTAGGACCAAGGCCTCTCGTTATATTAATAATATAATTTCATTAATCAATCAATAGAAGTGTTGAATTTCGTAAAATTTAATTGGTCCCTTGTCCAATATTTAATAACCTCTTCTTTTAAGAAGAGTATTCTGTTGGCTCCTCACGTGCCGCTCATTTATTATGGCGCTTTCATAAAGCTGACACTTTTTGCAAATGAAATCAAACAAATAAATTAAATTTGCCACGGACTTTTGGCGGTCGTGTTTAATTTTTTTTCCTGCTCCATAAAGTCCTACTTTGATTGCGTTCGTGGCTTCATGTCTCATGCCGGAAAATGTAAAAAAAAGCAGATATGTATAAATGAAAAGGAAAATACATACATTTATTTGTATTTGTATGAATATTTTTATTGGTGGTTACCTTTGGTTCGCTACAAATTGTTCTGTATGTGCGGTCGTTTAATTGAATAATTATATATACACGCATATAGAAGGAAATAATTTTTTGCTAGCCCGCTCATATCGATTCACATGGCTTGTAAATCAATTGCCATTACATGTGCATCCGTTCGATGGTATGCAAATGTAACAAATGGCCAAAACGCCGAAACACCTTGACCAACTCAATGAATACAACCACCCTTCGTCCTCATTCAGCCCGAAGTGTTGTCAAAGTGCGACAAAAAAATGTCAGCTACAAAAATAAATATCCAATTCGAAAATAAATAATTGTGCATCAGCGTGGCGTTAATTGCACTTTAAAAGGCCCCAAACAAGTGCCAAAATGTTAAATGCAATTTATTGCCATTGGCAATTGGCAGCTAACGAGTTCTTCAAATTGAACGCGGATGCACTAATTAGAATTTTGGCCGAAACAATTAGCAATTTAAGCAGAATAATTTCCATTTACTGAAAAAAAATATAACAAAAACAAGGAAAAACTTTCATTTAATTTCCCGCTGATAGCATTGCCATTGATGAATTGGAATGCTATTACTCATGCTCGAATACCGCCAATGAGGAGTCATTGTGGGCCATTGAGCTGTTATGAGCAAAGTTTACTTTTTAATAAAGCCCAAATGCGAATTCGTATCACTCACTGTGACTTGCAAGATCTTTAAGAACTTTTGCACAGATTTACATACACATTCATATATTTTTTATTGACTTTATGATCTTTGGGTAATACCTATTGATGCAGAAATTACCTCATGACCGGAGAAAAATTGGCAATAATGTTAAGGCCTTTTTAAGTGAGTCTCAGAGTCTCTTGCCTCTGAGTTTTATGCAATTCATGTGAAATAATTAAACCAAACAGAGAGGGGCAGTGGTGTTTGACCACGCCTCCCAAACATACGCCTTGACCAACATTAATTGCCTAATTTTTAATTAGTCACACAGTAATCCAGAAATTACACAGAAGTTGATGACTTCTTTTTTAGGACCTAGGCATAATTTTTGCTATGGCCCATTAAATGGAAATGCTAAACTTTATGTGTGTATGGAAACCTTTTTACGCTTTTTTTTTTTTTTTTGTTGAGCAGGTCAAAGTTAACTAACGAGTTGAGTTTTGCGGTTTTAATTGTGCCAAGTAATGCGGCCACCTCGGTGATTGTTGTTTTTGCTCGCTTTGTTATTGCATTTGCTATTGTTGTTGTGGCAACTCTCATTGTTGCGGTTTGTGGGTAAATTTTGGAAAGGTTAAGTACCCGGTTAGAGGCAGCAAATTAAATAATTACCAGCGACTGCGAAAGAGCCAAAGCTATGGGCCGCCTCAAGAGGACAGTTATAAAGCAATAAAGAACAAAATTCTTTAGTAATAACATGTTATAATTTAATCAATAAAAATAAGTAAGGCGCATGTTTTGCGGTTTTTTTTTTTATTAATAGTACTATAGGCGTTGGCATATTAGGTTCTCAGGCTGAATAATTTAGCTTAATACTTTTTAATCTTCATATATTACATTAGCATTTAATTGTTTTTATTATTTTCATAGTAAATGCAAATAATATCCAAAGAATTACTTTAGCTTGACTCTCTTAAGGCAACGACTTACAGCCGTAAGACTTTCTGTTCACCTTTGTTCACCTGTGCGCTTTAAGAAAAAAAAATTCAACAAAAGTCGTGCTGGGCAGAAAAGTTCAAGAAACGCAAAACAAAAGACGCGACAACATCAGAGACGTTTGGAGATTCAGCTTCGGCTGAGTTTGCATTTTAAAGCCGTTGCTGTTGACCTTGGGCTGCATAAATCGAATTGGAGCAGGTCGTTGACGAAGCTGCTTTATACGTTATTGCTTTTTTCGTTTTGGTTGGGAATTAAGTGGCCTGCATTATCTTTTTGCGGCTAGTGGCATCCTTGAATTCATTGAATTCCCATTGCGAAATCGCCGCATCATTTCGGCCCTTTACAATTATAATGAAGAGGCCAGTGGCCTGCGGTTATTACCTGTGTTCCTTGAAGTTCTTGAAAGTGGCTGGCGTTGCAGATAGTGCGGTTGAGTGGATTTAGTTGTAAACAACTGAGTGCAGGAACTGTTGCCACAGATTGTTATTACCTGCCGCTGTGTTTTTCTTCTGTAATATGCTGACTAACTTTTGGCTTTGCGCTGGCAAAGTCAACAAAAAGCGTAAAGAACACGTTTGCTTTAAGTTAACCAGTTTTGGCAATGCCCAAAGACTGCGATTGAGCAAAGATTGAGCGGACACAGATAGTACACTAGCACACACACCTCACAGATACTTTAAAACGTCGCGCATGCGAAATATGAAGCGTACTTGTTGTTGTTTGGTATTTTTATTTTTTTATAACTTGCACAATTAGCCAACAAAGTGAAGCACTGAAATTACCACACTGAGATGAATTTGAAAGCTGCTGCACTGCAATCTCAGCGGACTTAAGCTTGGCTCATTCACAACCGCAACGATCTTATTTGCTCTGATTTATGGTCAATGGTCGCCGGAAAAAACCCGCGCAAAAACAAAAGTATCTTGAAACTCAGCTCAGGTTCTCGGCTAGTTCGCTCAACCGTTTCCGCGTTTTGCTTCTCAACTCGCCGACGACGTGAATTCAACTGATCGACTTGGCCCACCTGAGCTCAGCTCAGCTCGGCGGCGCTGACAGATCGTCCAATTCAAAAATAGCATCTGGTATTGCTGCCGAAGTTAACGTCGACAGCGACTGCGACTGCGCCGAAGCAACGTAGCCAACTTTAAAGTTGTCTAAGCGGGCCGTCTAAAAGATCAAAATAGTAAGTGGAGTGGTCTACCTTCTGTAGCTGCAAGTGTTCCCGGCTTTTTAATGCTAGGAACAGCTGAGGGAGATCGGTTTTTGTCCGAGCTATACGCCATGATCAGTTTCAGAAGCTTGATTTGGTTGTTGTCTCTGCTATTATATAATTTATTCCATGTTGTGGATTATTGTTGATTAATACATTAAATATTATAAGCAATCTCTTAATTTAAGTTTATTTATTATCATTTTACATAACAATTTTTGAAATGTTCTTCTTCTTCTTTGGTAACAGAGTTCCTCCCATAGAGGAGTAATCGTGATATTTGAAACGTATATTACGTATACGCCTCGTTGCAGCTTAGATTTATGCAAATTTACAAAAAATGAATAATTATTTTTCCCATTTTTCGGGCCAGATTAAGTGCAACCTATGAGAATCGAGGAGGAGGGCACTATGTTTAATTTTTTATTTTTTTTTTTTATTTTGATAAATAGTTCTCAAATTAAAGCATGTTCTAAATTTTTATCATACGCAAAAAAACGGTAACTTTTTACTCTTCATTACTATTTCACGGCTAGGCGCTCTTAAAAGTAGGGTCAAAGATATTTTCTTCATTTTTCTTTCTTTTGACCAAAGTATTTTCTTTCTTTTGACCAAAATTATAATACTATCCGTATACTTACAATATTATAATACATAGATGCACTATTTTCGTTTCATATAAGCTTTCACTGCAAGGTTCACAGAAATAACTTTGAAGCCTAAAAATTTAATAAACGATAATCATACTTTGCATTGCGGCCCACACAGGCACAAAGCCCTGACGATAACAACGCCCATGGTGACCTCCGGCTTTGGTTATGTGCGCTGGGCACGCAAATCGGTTATTAGCTATAATGCATACATATTATATACTTGTATCTATATCGCATATTTTTGATGGTGCATTACTGCGGCCGTCTGCTGTCCAACAGATAAACCCCAATCCCACACACACCGCTTTTGTTTGGGCCTGGACTCGAAGATAAGCGCCCGAAAGGCCATTTGTACTAAATAACTGAAATAACAAAGAACCAACGAGCGAACGGCAAACAAACTGTCTATTAGTTATTGTTGTTTGATTTGCAAAACGTTTGTCATTTGTTAAATAAATTGATGGCCATTGCGGACCTCTTGGCAAATAGCAAGTAAATACAAAAAGGGACAGAAGTGACTAAAATGTTTGGCCAAGCTAATATTGGACTTATGATTTAAGGACTACAATTTAAAACCGACGCCCACACGCCCCACTTGCCAAGTGACCCATTGTGGAAAGTTTTCGATAAAAGTTTAAACCAAAAAGCTGTCAGAAGGCCTCAAAAGCAGAGGCGGTAGCAGCAGCAGTAGGAGCTAAGCATGACAAACGCCTAGGCATTGGGCCATCCCCTCCATTATCCTTCGACAATCATCAGCTGTCAGTGCAGTGAGTTGAGACCTTACCCAACAAAAAGCGAGTCTGCAGTGTCACCGAAAAAAGAAAAGCTAGAACACGAGAAAAATGAAGTGACATTGACATTTTGAATAATGACGCCACACAATTTGAATGCGAATTGCACGGAAAGAAATGGTTCATTAAACAAATGACAAAAGTAAAGACTTATATAGTAAAATGTAACCAGATTTTATATATTTCTTTTATAGGAATTCGTAATAGTTAAGACAAACTAACTAAAAACTATTCTTTTAGTGTAAGGTTTAAATCCCAGTGTTAGAGGCCACCAGCAGGGGAGCTTTCAATTCGGCCGGCCCAGCGGGAAATATTTGCCAGCCCGCTGGTAGAGATTAGCTGCAAATTTTGAAGAATGTTCCGCCCAGCTTTTCGTAGCATCTGTCCAGAGTTTTGCCCAAAGCCAGCTCCTGACTGTTACCGCCCGGTGCTGTCCTTTCCTCAGCCAATTGCGAGTTGGCCGACACAGTCTTGGGAACGTGCACAACAAGCGAGCACAGCACTAATGAACAATGTCAAGGTGTTGTCAAGTGCATTTCCCAGGGAGAAGGGCTGTCATTAGACGCAGCCAAGTGACCCAAAAAGCAAAAACTTCATCTCCCCCGAATCACTTAAATAGCTAAATGGAGTAACAAAGCTCCTGAATACGAAGCCAAGTAGCCATAATCACAGAGGTGCAATTTGCAAGGAGCCCTGAGCTCTGAGCCCTGAGCTGAGAGAATTGCCAACAACAATAATAAATTCGCGCACAAAGTGCCAAGTACAAAATAAAGACAAAACGACGTTGGCAGTAAGAATGAAAATAAGAATAAGAAACGAGCTGGGAACGAAAAATAGTTGCAAAAACTAAAATTAAACTTGCGTCCCGACTCTGCTCTGCTGCACTTTTTAATATGATTTTTTCAAGCCCCTCCGCAGCACCCCACTTTCTCAGCGAAACCATTTAAGTTGGGTGTACAGGGGGGTGGATGAGTGTTGAAAAAACAACTTGAGATTGTAATTAGTTTTTGTTGCTGTTGGGTTTAACTGAAGGGAAACTTTCAAATTGAACCGCGCTGAGACGGCGACTGAGTCGGCGACTGAGACTGAGAATGAGATTCCGTCTTTGGGGCTCGACCACGCCTTTTTTTCCACTCGTCCCCCCCCAAGGATATTTTGCGGTTTCAACTTTTACACGCTGGCCAACAGCGGCGTCGTTGTCGTCGTAGCAAATGGCAAATATGTCTGCGAAAAATCTCATTAAGTATACGAAATGTGGTACGCGCAGTGTCGTCGGAGGTATAAAAATGCAAAGGGAAGGACCGAAGGCGAAACGAAAATGAAAAAAGGAGAGTAAATAAAAATTATGAATGTCGTTTGCCGAGATGAGAGGGAAAAGGAAACCTAAAAAGTAAGAAAAACCAAAGCCGAGTGGAGCGAAATGCAAATGTCTTAAAGTTCTCATCTGGCAACAGGTAACTCTGCCTGGACTGGACTTTAAAACTCGGCCACGGACTGGGTCAAGTTTGAGGGAAGCTCGTTTTAGTTTTCCGTTCCATATTCTCGTCCTCAAAGTTCACTGTGGCGGTGGAGTGGGTCAAGGGGCTGCGGTCCTCGTGGGGCAGGTCATCTAACGAGCAGTTTGGGGTCTTGTCTAGGTCATTTGGTGGCCGATGAGCCTTATAATGCGCGTAATTTGCGTATGATGGGCCTTCGCGCAACATTCACAGAATTCCTCATATTCCAAGGCCTCCAAACAAAATCCCAGTGAAATAAATGTGGCCCAGCCTATAAAATTATTTATTTGTGGCTAGGATACATACATATAAACGGAAGTTGGAACTAAAGAAAATTTTAAAGTGAAGACAAAGTAGATTTAGTTTTCATTGGCCTTCATTTATAGGCCTTTTATAGCTGCCGTATTTTTAATTCCTTGCTTGTTACTTTCCTCAAAGTCTCAAATTTCTAAAACTCTCTTTAATCTATTTGCAGGAACGTGGAAGCCAATTTAACAGAAACCCAAGGCCTCAGACAGACACCTTTCCGCTACTTTTTCCTACGCCAACGTTTTAAATGTTTGACTTTATAATTTTGAAATTTCAATGTTTAATTAAAGAAGCTGGCTCAATTAAAATGGTACACCACCAACACACACAACGGCCCCAAATAGAAAAAAACAACCCGCAAAATTATTTCATTTGCAGAGTCGCTTTCATTAGGCGATTTGGTGGCTGTAGACGTTGCCTCTCAAAGTCAAAAACATTTTAGCCTTTTAGGCACCACAGTAATGCGTCTAAAGCCATCATTTAAGGGACTGCGGAAGGGCAGGGGAGAGGGTGGCCGCTCAGAAATAGGGCGCAGGATGCCAAGGACATACTGCAGGGTTGTCACTTCTGCTGCCACTGCCAGTGAATCTGATGGGTTAGCAAAACACATTTAGATTACATGAGGCAAGGGACAAAAGTCTCGGATTCAAGCCAAGCCCGAGACGTGATGGCCCTTGTAAGGGACTTACCTACGGCTGCTGCAAAATCATACGTGCATATATGTGTTTCAATTCTAAGCAGAGCAAAAAACTAAGATCTTTTTTCACTATTACCAAGTGAAGTTCCGCGAAGAAAACCCTATTGCACTTTGTATAGAAGACCACATTCTGATGATAGTCCTTAAACAAATATGAACAAAAGACATGGCCAAGTTCATAGCCTTTTTCTGAGGTTGATAATTAGGGTTGAAATACTGGCCTTGCCGTTGGTTTTCTGCCACCGCGTTCAACATGGCGTATACGTGATGCTATGATAATCATGCTTATTTACAATAAATCTCGGCTTGAAGCTCAGGGCTCTGGGCCAAATTGAAGTGTTAGGAACATCAACGCGCGCCCCTTAGGCTGATGATTTATTTAATGCGTAATCTCTACCAGCGCCAGCGCCAGCCCAGACGAGAAAGAGAGAAATGTTATAAACATTATGATGACAGCACCTCAAGACTATTATTATGGCTATTATTGTTATTATACCCTCGAGTGGAGTGCTTTGTTTGGCACCCTTGAAAATAATCAATTAATTGCGCCACTTGCCAAGGCAAAAGTTTTTGAATCTTCCCGGCATTAGTTCGTTTCACTTCGGCCACTTTTTGAGTCACGTAATTAGCTTAGTCTGGACATCAATCAAAGGATTTGAAAGGGCGAAGTGTAAGAGCCAAAGTCCGTCGAGCGGATAAACATAAATCTGCAAAGTGTAAATGGCCAAAGTTCCGAAACATAGCTGGCTTCAGATTGGCTTTAAGTAAGGAACAGAGACGGAGGTTCTCGTCCTTGGGCGTCCTTGTTATGTCCTGACTATTATTGCCGTTGTCATTCTCATTAGTGGGCCACAACAGCTAAC